TACCAGAGTATAACTCCCTTGAATGAATGCCATAAAATGGTGAACACCTAACATTTTGATTGTATGTTGTCACACCAACCTATCACCTGATGACTAGTATGTACCTGGAGGATCAACAAGAAGAGAACTCCCCAACTGTCCCTGGAGCTTCAGCTCCACTGGGTTCCCCTCTGCTGACTCAGACCACTCAACTGCCTGCCCAGCCACCCATGAGAACATGGACCTGAAACAGCCCATGCTGGTGTTTGTCAACTTGCCACAAATTAGAGTCTTTTAGGTAGAAGGGACCTTCATTGAGAATATGCCACAACAGATGACCTACAGGCAGGTCTGTGGGGTGTTCTCTTGATTAGTGATTGATGAAGGAGGGCCCAGCCCACTGTGGGGGGAAGCCATACTGGTGCAGGTGGTCTTAAGTGGTAAAAGAAATCAGGCTGAGAAAGCCATGTGGAAAACGACAGTGAACAGTGTTCCTCCTGTGTTCCCCTCCCCCCCCCCTACACTTCCTGCCTCCGGGTTCTTGCCCTGACTTCTTTTCACGATGAACTGCAAGCTATAAGATGAAGTAAATCCTTCCATCTCCACGTTGCTTTGGGTCATAGTCTTTGCCACAGCAATGGAAACCAAATTACAAATTAGGATACTGTGGTTTCCCGTTCTTGGACCCGGGTTCAGGCTTTTACCACACAGCTGAACTCTGTAGCCTTGCCCTCAAACCTGGACTTCAGCCACCTCCCAGCCTGGATCTGGCTTGCGTCTTATCAATATAGACTCTCCCAGCCTACTTCTGAAACTTTTTGTACTCTCCTGCAGCCTTTTTAATTGTGTTCTTTCTGTAAACTACATCTATGCATCTATACTTACTGTGTGTGATGTGTGGTATGAGAGTTAATTAAGATAGAATAAAAGAACTTACATTTGCCTCAGCCAGATTGGATAATCTTTCAAATTCCTGTCATTGAAACCTCTGGGTCTTGAGAATGTATGGCTCTTCAATAGACTGTGATATTGTAGAAAGACACAAACATGTTCCTCTGTGTCTCTGGCTACATGCTCACAACATGCAGCAAGTGCTTTTACCCACACAGTCATCTCCCCAGCCTTTAGCTTAAATGTTAAAAGAATTAGCTGCTAGGGATGGTGGCACATGCTTCAACTCCAGCACTTAGAGGCTGACCTGGGAGGAGTGAGAATTTGAGACTGGCCTGGGCTATTCAGCAAGTTCAAGACCAGCAAGGGGATCCACATCATGAGATCTTGGTGCTTAAGCACGCACACGCGCGCGCGCACACACACACACACACACACACACACACACACACACACACGATAATTAGAGGGATGGATGGATGGATGGATGGATGGATGGATGGGTGGGTAGATGGATAGATGGATGGATGGATGGATAGGAGGGTGGGTGGGTAGATGGATAGGTAGGTAGGTAGGTAGGTAGGTAGGTAGGTAGGTAGGTAGGTAGATGAAGTACTTTCATTGAGTTCTGATGGGATCCCTTTCCCAGAGGGCAGGGAGTGAGAATGGAATGAAGGAAAGAAAGGGTCTGTGTAGAAGTAACCGTCTTATTCAATAAGAAACACAGAACCAATGCAAAGATAAAAGCCCAAGAGATCAGAGCTAAGAGCCTTACCCTTCCTCTGCAGCTGTCCTCTTCAGCCAAGAGAACTACTTCCTATGTGTTTGCCTTTATAAAGACTTTCTGTTCTGCCTTCTCATTGGTTGTAAACCCAACCACATGACCGCCTGTCTGTACAGACCTCCCCATCTTCTTTGGTTGGTATTGAGATTAAAGGCGTGTGTCTCCATGCTGGCTGTATCCTTGAACACACAGAGATCTACCTAGCTCTGCCTACCAAGTGCTAGGATTAAAGGCATGCACCACCACCACCCAGCTTCTGTGATGGCTTGCTATTAGCTCTGACCCCTGGGCAACTTTATTTATTAACATACAAATAAAATCACATTTCAGTACAAATAAAATATCACCATAGGTCTGGGAAACTGACAGTGGCCCCAGTCAAACCTTTAAGTTTACTGCCCATCAGAACAGCATCCTGGAATGATTATCACCCCCGACTTCAGATTTTGACACTTCATTCATGTGTCCAGTACTCCCACACTCCATTATCCAAGACACCAGGGTGACTAAAGGGGAAAAATCAGTCTCCCCAAGATCCACAGAAATAGGCCTGCCTCCACTCTGAAACTATTCCCCATGGTCCTATTGTTCTAGTCTCTGCCTTTTCTAATGTTGGAAAATCTAATTCCAAACAAATGTGAGCAAAAGACTAATAAGTTATGCAGCTGCAGGGTTTTAGGACTAAGCCCCTTAAGCTTTTTTTGGAGTAATATTTGATCTCTTGACATAAATCTATTGCTATTGTGGGTTATATACATATGCAAAGCTCCCACAAAATAAGCCAAAACTAAACTGATTACATTCCCGGTAGACTAGATGTGACTCGGTTTTGGATTCTGAGGCTTTGATGTAGTGCCTCCAATGCAGTGTGGAGTATTGAACAATAAAGATAAGGAGGGAGAAATGGGGGCTGGGCCATGGCTTCATGGGTAAAAGAGCTTGTTGCACAGGCATGAAGACCTGATCTCGATTACCAGTGTGAGAAGCTAAGTGGGGTCATGCAAATCCATAACTCCCAGTGCTGTGGGAGGCAGATATAGAAAGATCATTCAGGCTTGCTGGCTGCCAGTCTCATTCCAAGTTCAATGAGAGATGCTGTCTCAAGTGAATAATGCAGAGGACAAAGCAAGACATTCAAGCGTACATACATACACATGCATACACACGCACTCATGCACACACAGGAAAATGGAACTAGAGAGAAGTCAGTTGGTAAAGTGTTTATGAACTCAGGAAGACCTGAATTTGATCCCCTAGAGCCCACATTTTAAAAGCTAGGCATGGTGGCACACCCCTCTAATCCCAGCACAGCAGAGGCAGAGATGGCAGGAACCCCTGGGGCTGGATGGCCAGCCAGCCTGGCCTGCTGGGCGAGTTCCAGTCAATAAAAGACTCTTGGTGCCTGCAGTTGCCTAAATGAGAATGATTCCCCACAGGCTCATGTGCTTGAATACTTGGTTCCCAGCTGGTGGAAATGTTTAAAAAGGATTAAGAGGTGTGGCTTTGTTGGAGGGAGTGTATCACTAGGGGTGAGCTTTGAGGACTCAAAAGACTGGCACCATTTCCAGTTCTTTCGGCCTCCTGCTCTTGCATCAAGATAACTATCAGCTATTCTTCCCGCCATGCCTTTGCTTCACCGTCATGGGCTCTAAACATTGGGAAACTTCAGCTGAATTAAAAGCTTTCTTTTGTTAAGTTGCCTCGGTCATGGTGTTTTGTCACAGCAATAGAAACCTAATACTGGGCCTGAGGAGCAAAACCAGAAGTCTTCTGACCTTCACATAGCAGCATAAATGCATCAGCACACACATGTATCTGCACACACAGGCAGGGAGGAGGGGAAGAGGACAAAGCCGGTTCTCAGTACAGTGATGCAACAAAACACAGGACAAAGTCTCAGAAAGCTGGGCAGCCGGGCAAGGAGACCTGAGACTGCTGTCAGCAGGGTAGATCTAAGGCAGGAAGCTCTTGACGTGAAAGAACAAATGAATAACTTCTTTTGTCTGGACAGCCTAGCCCATCACAGGAGCAGCTTCTCTGTGAGAGTAAAAGAAAGGTTCTGGGGGGCAGGGGTTCCGGGGCTGAAGATGATGACGTTTATAGAACAAGGCAGCTACCCTAGACTAAGCCACCAGCAAAGACAAGTGACAGAAAGGACGGAGCCACCAGATACAACCAGGGTGATTCTTTAGACCACAAAATAGGGTCATTACTTGATCTGATATCCACTTCAGACCTGTCTCCGTAAGTCGGTCACTTAACTTCAAATCTATTTTGGGTAGAAAGTGATGGGCCAGCACCTGGCCTGACTTACTCTCCAGTGTCATCGTGACACTGCCATTGTTTGGGGAAACTGACGACCCCTAAAATTTCTCCCTAACAGGCATGTGACTCCGATTGGAAGATTTCTTTATATTTCCACACTCGCAGTCATCTTAGCCTTTCCTACAGCCGCTTGGTCTACCCTGCAAGTTTTAAGGAGAGTATCACTTTAAAAATCATGGGATGGGGGCTGGAGAGGCAGCTCAGCAGGCAAGAGTCCTTGCTGCTCTTCCAGAAGACCTGGGTTTGATCCCCAGGACCCACATGGCAGCTCGCAACCATCCATAACTCCAGTTCCCGGGGAATCAAATCCCTCTCCTGACTTCCCCAGGCATGCACATGGTGTACATACATACATGCAGGCAAAAAAAATCCACACACATAAAATAAACCTAAAAGAAAAATTTAAACATGGAATGCCAGCTCTGAGAGTTCTCTTACTTCACTTCCCTTTCTCCCAAGACAATTCCTTCGAGCAGTGTTTCTCAACTTCCTTTAGTACAGTTCCTCATGTTGTGGTGACCCCCTCCCCAAACCATAAAATTATTTCATTACTCCTCCATAACTGTAATTTTTCTACCACTATGAATCACAATGTAAACACCTGATATACAGGATATCTGATATGCGACCCCCATAGGGGTCATGACCCACAGGTTGACAACCACTGCCTTAGAGCCATAATGGCTTACTGGCATTAAACACTCTGAGAACTGTGCCAAGAGATTTACATATTTAAATCAAAGGATGCAATATGGGTGTGACTTTCATCTCCCTTTTGCAGAAGGGGAACCTGAGACACGTTTACCTTCCTCCCATCATGCTCCTACTTTATGAAGAACTCCTTATCAAACACTAAACCTCAGGCATCCAAAGCCTGTGAGCAGCATTCTCTCTCAGCTGGGAGGGAGATGGGGTGATACATAATTTGGAAGAGGTTTCTTGACACCTTTGATCATGATGTTCCTAGAAGACATGGCTACCCGCCTGTATTGCCAAGGCACAGGCTCTAGCCAGCTCTTACCCTGTTGTCCTCCTGGATCTCCCAGTCACTCGAGAAGGTCATCAGCTGCTGCCCTTGGGAACAGTTAGCAAACTGGAAGAGGCTGGAGAACATCCTTCTGTTTTCTTGTGTGTCTGGAAAGATGGCATCTTGGAAATTGACTCCATGGGGCAAGAGATTGTAATTTTCATCCATCCTAAGGGGGAGGGGTCAAAGCAGAGATGTAGGTGAGGTTATTGGAGGTGGGCCAGCTTTAGTCTAGCTTACAAAGGATGGAGATGGTCTTGTTAACTTCATCATGAAGTCTGCAGTGGTCTCAGGAAGAGACCCCTACTTCTTTTGTTTTCCAGTTTACACTACTTGAGGCTAACCTTAAGGTTTTCTTAAGAACGGAGTCTAGACAAGGGGGAAGATGTGTGCACACACACCTGTCTGTCTATTTACTTCCTAGTGAGAAGGCAGCCAGTTGTAATGTGACCTGGATTCAAGTCTCACTACAACATTCAAGTTTCAAAGTTTCTTCTCTAAGCACCGCCGTCTTCCAGTCTGCTACTAGAGGGTTATAGTAGAACCAACTTTCTTGGTATTATCATGGGGACTGCATTCGAAAAATATAATGGGTAAGGGCACTTCCTGATCAAGTGTGAGGACCCAAATTTGAATTCCTAGCACTCACATTAAAAAGCCAGCTGTGCATGCCGGTAACACCAGCAATGGAGGGCAGAGACAGATCCTGAAAGCCTGCTGGCCCAGTCTGGCCCAAACAGTGAGCTTCCAGGTCAATGAGAGGCCCTGTCTCCAGGCAATAAAGTGGAGGGCGATAGAGGAAGACACCAACATCTTCCTCTGGCCTCTGCATGTGCACACACTCCTATGCATGCACCACATACACATATATACCCATCCAACACATACAAATATAACAAAGCACTTGGCACAGAGTGAATGCAAGTATAGACGTATTAGTGAACGTTTTTACATGCTCTGGTGTAAAGAGCTTATTAGAAATAGAAGTCAGAAAAAAAAGAGGTGAGAATTTTAAACCAAGTGTTCCAGTTTGAATTTGGAATGGTCCCCCCTCCTCTCAGCTTCATGGCCTCAACCTTGGTACCCAGCTAGGGTGGGAGGCTGTCAAAGTTTCAGAAGGTCAGACCTAGCTAGAGGAAATAAGTCACTGGGAGTATGCCTTTGGGTCTATATCCTGCCATGGCCCCTTCCTGTATTCCTTCTCTGCTTCCTGTTTGCCATGAGGTGAACAGTGTCTGCCCAATGCATCACCATAATCATCTGCCCAAGTGTGCAGAGCCGCACAGCCATGGAATGAGTCCTCTGAAATGGGCCGAAATAAACCCTGCCTTCCTTTCCATGTATCAGTCACAGTGAGTGAGCAAGAGATAGGGGAAGAGGCCAGAAGAACAGAGGAGGAATGCGGTGTATGCAGTTATTAACCTGCTTCAAGGCAAAGCAGCCCTATGAAAAGACAACCTGTCACAGTATCGTGGGACTGTTTGTCTTAACTTTCCGTAATTATGTCATCGCAAAAGATAAAAACATTGGCTGACCACTGCACAGTCACTGGACCATTTTGTGATTAAGAAAGAAAAAAGCAAAAATCCAACACTGTCTGCCCAGATCTTGAGCTTTTTATCCAGTGGAAAATAAAGCACTGTCAAGTTGTTTTATAGCTGAGCTCACAGTGTTTTCCCTAAATAAAAACATGAAAAGGCTGAGTTAGATTCTCTGTCTCAAGAAAGGCACTCTCACAGTCCAGCTGACTTTATTTAGAAAACCATACTTTCCAGACAATTAAAAAAAAAATCAACCTAATCTGGCTAAGCTACTCAAGCCAACACAAAGCAGAACATGCATGCTAAAGTTAGCCTGCCTTCAATATGGAAAGCACATGTGGCCCTGAGCTTCGGGACGCCCCTCTGCGGAACTTACTGTTTTCATTCTCAGAGATTCCAAAACGAACCTGCAGCCCCTGCTCAGAGTCATTCCCAAGAGCCTTGGTGCTGTTTTACAGTTGGTAAGACTGGCACTAGTGATGACCGTAAAGCTTTGGATTAAATCACTGACTGTTTTACACCCTGGCTAAGATTCTATGTCCATGCGTCTCCCTCCCCGTTGTTCTGTATCCATCTTAATTGAATAAGAAACAACCCACCAACCTGAGGGGCCACCTGCGGTTTTCTACCTGTGGTTTGGGTAGAATTCAGAAGTCAACAAAAATGAACGGAATTTGGGGACAGATACATTTCCCGCTCATCATAGGCCAACCTCCGCGGAAGTTCACAAGATCGATATTGTCTACCAGAGACCACCGGTCTGACCAGCAGTGACCTGGACTTTTTACCTCTCCCCCAAACCGCTGCTAATTGGAATTACCTGGCAGCTGGTATGAGAGAGTAGGACAAGCAAATAGCTGGGCTGCTTTCTGGCACTGAGGTGGGTAGGGAGAGAGAGTGAACGCACATTAAACAGCGGGGCTTTCCCGGGTGCTTCTCGTGTTCCTATCCGTATTTGCTTCTCACTTTTAGACAGACGGGAACTGGTGGAGGGGAGAGGTGTGAGAGTGGGACTCTGAGAGAAGCAATTGGCTCAAACCTTACACTTGAGAAGTTCAAAGCCAGAATCCCAACAACGGATTCCAAAGGTCGTCTCTCTCGGGACATCAAATGGGTGGTTGGAAAGCGCTTTGATAGCTGCAATTGGTCGCATGAGCCTGTAATTGCAGCACTCAGAGGCTGAAGCAGGAGGATCGCCCGGGGAAAACAGCAAAACCTGGCCTCATAAGCAAAAGCACCTTAACGTAAAAAGGCCTGTAACACCCTTCTGTGCGCACGACTCCAAAAATCATGTCTGTATCTTATTCTCAGCCAAGGGTGGTCGGGATCTTCATAGAGAACAGAGCAAGAGAGAATGCAAAGAGCCTAAGGCATGTTCTACTTTGGAGAGAGAAAAAAAAAAAAAAAAAAAAAA